AACCAGTGGACCAGAGAACCAGTGGACCAGAGAACCAGTGGACCAGAGGACCAGTGGGGATACAAGGAGCAGTGGGCACACAAAAAAAAGGTTAATAAGACAGTAGGTCAGCTATGTTGTATGGTCTGGAGACAGAGACATGGACAAAAAGACAGGAGACAGAACTGGAAGTGTCAGAAATGAAGATGTTGAGTTTCTCCTTAGGAGTGACAAGGATGGAGAAGATCAGGAATGAGATCATCAGAGGTACAGCACAGGTTGAACAACTGGGAAATAACGTTAAGAGAGGACACACTGAGAAGAAGCTGGACTTCAGAGACCTTCAGAGACCTTCAATGGACTTCAGAGGCCTGTAGAACGTTCCAAACAGAGATCTGGGGTTTACTGACCTGCAGTGGACAATGATGGGGTCTTTGGTCCTGTTGGCCTGCTGGCGGACAATGTGGACAAACTGCAGGATGCTCTCGATGGCGTTCACCGTGGGGACGCCATGATCTGGCCACGAAGTGTAGTTCAGATGCAGGACGTCCCGGGTCTCATCAGCCTGTTGGAGGTGGCAAGCATTCAGCGTAAACGTAGTTTCTGAGCTCAGGAGCTTCCCTCAGGTAAGGTGAAGAGACTCACGTATCCCAGTCTGAACTTCCTGATGATCCACTCCGGAGACTCGTTCTCAGACAAGATCTCCAAGCTGATGTCGCCGTACATCACGGGCTCGTCTGTAAATGGCCAGTAATGATCGCACTTCACCTGGAAACATGGCGGCACAAATAAACTGCACACCTCAGGTAACACCTGTCAGGACGGACTGCTGCTGCATGTTCCATATATGGGCGTGTGGGCGGGACTTAATCTGGTTCCTGCTGGCTGCAGTTGTTAGAGAATTTACAGTCAGGGTTATGAATGTTTGTCTTGTGTCTTGGACACTGAACATGTTTCCCTCCTGCCTTCAGACCAGAACATTCTCTTATCTCCACCTGGAGACTCGCGGAGCATCCCTGACGTCCACAAACCACCTGTGGGCTTTTGGACCTTCAGAGTGTACTAAAGAGGACTGAACGTTTCTTCAGAAGAACCACAGCTCAAGTCAAGTGAAGCTTTTTTTAACTAGTTGGACCGTAGCTGGCTTGAGCACGAAGGAGCGCCCGCTGAACCGTTAATGTTCTAAAAGCAGATGACTTGGTTGGAGGTTCGTTGTTTTCATGCACACTGCATGTATCCATCAAAGTTCAGGCAGGTCCTCTGGAGAAGTCTTCTTGTTCAGACGTTTCTTCAGTCCGAGGAGCTGCAACAACCTCAGTCCTAAAAAGTTTACCTTTTACCTGATTACTGAGCAGGAACTTGAATGTTCTGAACCACTTCGGCTATGGCTGCCTCAGATGAGTCGGCGGGGGAGAGGGTGGACTCCAGAAACCGTCTGAGCACCATCCAACTGGTCGACCCACTATGTGAAGGTGCTGTTCATAAGACTGAGTTTGTTGCAGCTCCTCAGACTGAAGAAGTCTTTTAGATGAGATACGAAACGTTCAACACAAAGAAACCGTCCAGAGGACCTGAGTGAACTTTTTGATGGATCCATGGACGTAACCGGTCCTGATGTGGACTGGAGAGAAACCAGTTTAAAAAAACGTCACTTGACACGAGTTGTGGTTCATCTGAATAAACTTTTAGTCTTCTTTAATACTAGCTGACGGTCCAAACACACGTGTGTCCAGATCTGAAGAACAGATGAAGAACAGCAGGACTCCACATGACACACAGATAAAAGGCCACGCCTATTTTTATGTGACTGCTCAGTCAGTGTTCACACCGACCCACTTCTGCAGACGGTTGAACCATTCGTTGATGGAAACGTTCGGCTTGTTCAAGAGGGCAGTGACTTGAGTTTTGGTTTTTAAAACTTTTGAAAATATTTAACTTTATATTAAAAAACAGAGAAATACAGAAATTCCTTCAAAATCAATGTTCTTATTGACTCTGTGTTTGTCTTCTTATGCATTTATCCATTCAACCTTTATTTCTACAGGTAAATCCCATTGAGCCTCCAGGACTCATTTACAAGAGAGACCTGATTTAACAAAGAAAGATGACAACAATGGACAACAGCAACAACAATAAACAGTTATAAAAAGTCATACTATTTAAAAAAAAATTTTTTTTACAAATAGGATGGCTAAAAAAAAAGTAAAAAAAAAAGAAAAGTAACAAAAAACAGCTAGATTCTAAGGTGAATGTAGAAACTAAAAACAGGAACATGTCTGCATTGGTCCCTGCCAGGAGTCCAACAGATTCTTAAAGTCACTTGGAGAGGTCAAAGGTCGAGAGCTTCAGATCTTTTTACAAGATATTCCAGGAAACAGGAGCGGAGTAGGAGAAGGTCCTTTTGTCTAGTTCAGTCCTCACTGAGGGAACACTGCAGGTAATGATGTCCTGAGAGCGCACGCTGTAGCTGCACTCACACAGAGACATGTAGGAGGAGATGTATGAAGGCAGCAGACCAGGAAGTGATTTAAAGATGAAAATGTACCAGTGGGAGAGTCTGTGTGAAGTTAATGGTGACCAGTTAACCAGTGAATACTGGGTGCAGTGGTGGGTACGGTAATCACAGCCAGTTATGAATCTTAGTGCACCATGATAGACAGCATCCAACATCTGCAGCATCCAACATCTGCAGGGTTCTTGTAGGAGCGTTCATGTAAATAATGTCACCGTAATCAATGGAGGGAAGGAAAGTCACAGATACAAGGTGTTCCTCAGGGTTCAGAGTTAGACAGGATCTGTTTCTGAAAAAGAAACCCAGTTTAACTTCCAGTTTCTTTACCAAGTTTTCCACATGGAGCTTAAAAGAGAGATGTGAGTCGACCAAGATACACAAATATTTATAGGAATCAACAAACTCAATGGGGACACCATTTGACGATAAAATTGGAGGAAGAACTGCTGGGACCAACTTCCTGTTTGAAAACAATATCCCTTTGGTTTCATCAGCATTTAGGACAAGTTTGAGGCAGAACAAATCAGTCTGGATGATGTTGAATGCAGATTTCAAAAGCTGGAAAGCCTTAGCAACAGTTTTAGCTCGGCAATAAACAACTGTGTCATCAGCATAGAAATGTATGGATGCATTAGGGATGTTTTTACCTACATTATGTATGTAGATTGTAAAGAGGGTGGGTCCTAAGACTGAGCCTTGTGGTACACCATTGTTGACTGTTAAATAACTGGAGGAAGTACCATTATGTTGAACACATTGCCTCCGGTCTGAAAGATAGTTAGAGAACCAACCAATGGTGTGTTCTGAGAAACCGATTTCTGAGAGTTTATGACACAAGATGTTCTGATCCACAGTGTCAAAATCTTTAGACAGGTCTAAGAAAAGTGCAGCACAATAATCCTTAGCATCCAGTGCTTCAACAACGTCGTTAAGAACCTTCAGTGAAGCAGTGGTTGTGCTGTGTTGTTTCCTGAAACCAGATTGATGTGGAGGTAAGATGTTAAATGAGTCCAGGTCATTTTTGATTTGAGAGTTTATCAGTTTTTCTAGAACCTTGGCTAAAATGCAGAGTTTAGAGATTGGTCCATAGTTGTTTAGTGAGGGGGGGTCACCTCCCTTCAGCAAAGAAGAACAAAGGCTGTTTTCCAAGTGTCTGGATGGAGTTTTGTCTTATGGAGAGATTGAAGATGTGGGTCACAGGGACTGTGATGATATGAGCAGCCAGCCTTAAGAAATAAGGTGGAAGTTCATCTGGACCTGCAGATTTTTTAGGATCAAGATCTTTTAACAGTTTATTGACCTCACTGACTGAGAATGGAGAAAAAGAGAAGCTGTGATTAACTGAGGATTGACTTGTAGGAGGGATTTGATTTGTAGAAGTTTGGTTATTAAGTGAAGTGGCTGATCTTCCATTAGTAACTGTGTCAAATAAAGAACCAGAAGCAACAAAATGTTTGTTGAGACAGTTCAGGATCTCGTGCTTATTTGACACAGGAGCAGAGTTAACGAGAAGTTGTGATGGGAGGTCAGATGATTGGGGGGTGCCTGAGAGAGATTTGATGGTTTTCCAGAATCTGTTGGGGTCATTTAGATTTTTGGAGGTCTGAGATAAGAAATAGTTGTTTTGCAGCTTTGACAGCAGTTGTGCATTTATTCCTCATCTGTTGAAAACTCAACCAATCAGTGTCTGAGCCAGATTTTCTCGCTGTGGCCCAAAGATGATCTCTCCTGTGCAGGAGGTCAGCTAGCTCTGGAGTCAACCAGGGGCTGTCTCGTCCCTTTATTCTGAACTGACGAAAAGGAGCATGTTTGTTCACAAAATAAATGAAACTATTATGAAAATAGTTCCAAGCAGAGTTCACGTCATCAGTTAACAGAATACGATGTCAGTCAAAGTGAGACAGATCCCAGAGGAATGACTGTTCACAGAAATGTTTCAGATCCCTTTTTTTAATTAATCTGGGCTTAGAAGGTGGAAGTTTAATATCTCTCAAAGCAGCTGTCACACAATGATCACTCAAAATATCAGCGAATACACCTGTACCAGGGAATTTGTGAGGCATATTAGTTAGAAACAGGTCTAAGATGGAGGATTTTTCAGGACGGTTTTTGTTTGGTCTAGTCGGAGAGTTGATCAGTTGGGTAAGATTGAGAGACAGGCAACATTCCTTGAATTTATCACAGAGGGGTTGACTTATCCCAGTCAATGTTGAAATCTCCTGCCAAAAAGATATCTTTGAATTTTAAATTACCAAGGAATTCCATCAGGGAGGACAGAGCCTCAGGTGTTGCTGAGGGGGGACGATAACAACCCACTACAGATAAGATCTGGCCTCCATTCAAAGTGATGTTTACAGCTAAGGCATCAATTTGGTTTGGAATTGTTTTAGAAGACACAAGACTAGAAACCAGAGAATCTATGATTCAGATGTTAGTTTTTAGCTGCCATTTTCATACTTTAGCTAGTGTTTGGTTACATTTAGCTGGTATTTTTCTACCTTTATTTTTTAGCTAGGTTCAATATTTGACCTTTTATCTCAGGTTTCGAAACTTTGCACTTTGATACTGTTAGCTTTTTGCTAATTTAGCTCATGCTTTGCTGCTTTTAGCTTTTGGATCCTTGGGTTAGGGCTGTTCAGTACGTCAGTACTCACGTTCCTCTGGTTTAAATAAAGAAGTGACGCATGGTTTCTGAAACCTCTGCGCCCAACAGTCTGATTCATCTCCAGTGTTTGAGAGAACGTCTCACCCTTCGTCGTTCGTTGCACTGCGTCAACATGACGATTACGGGCGACTTCTGCTGCAGAACCATCTTCCAGAAGTCGTTGCGGGTCTCGGGCAGCGGACCCTGAGTGGCGATGTACTCCTTGGAGTGTTTGTAGCCCTGAACATCAGACACCGGGGTACAGGTTTGTCCGGTCGGAGCAAGTTGCCTCTGACTCTTTCACAGGTGAAGGTACTCACAGGTATGTAGTTGGCATTGATGTAGTCCGCACCTTCATCGTTGTGCATGGAGATCAGCTTCACCCGGCTGAAGTCATCTGGGAGCAGAGTTGGAGTTAGTCTGAGGTAAACTACAGTTAGTCATCAAACAACCAGAACAGTGTTCTCTGTAGAGAAGAAGCGACGTGTCGGCTCACAGGGCAGGATGTTGGTGTATCTGTTCTTGGGCCTGTTGACGGGCAGGTCCGCAGCATCGTGACTCAGGTCAAGGCCAACGGTCTTCAGCTCCTGGAACAGGTAAAACCTTCAGCTCAGACCCGGGACGCTCGGGTTTAACACCCGAGGACAACTGCTGCTTTGGAGAAAGAATCTTGACCATAGAGAAGTTGGTCCTACCTCAAACTGCAGCGAGAACTTGTAGGCTGAGTCTTTGCTCATTTCTTTAAAATAAGCCTCGAAGTCGTCGAGCTGCACCGGGCTGAAAGCAGAACAAGAATGACCTGAAGACTGGAAGCACTGACCACGAGTTTCTGACTCTGATGTTTGAAGGTTGAGCCGCTCATCATTTATTCCACTTTGGATCTGAGTCCAACAAGAAGTCTGATTTGAATCTGCTGGATTAGCTGAGTGTCGGGCTGAAGGACATGCAGCGGCTGAGTCTCGTTACCTGCTTAACTTCAGCTTCTTTAACGCAGTCTTGCTCCTATAAAAAACACACAGGATGAACTTCATCTGTCAACAAAGTCATGGTTTTCGGCTCGGACCGATGAAGGTGTGCCTGTCTGTGCAGCAGCAGCAGCGCCCCCTGCTGTTTGTTTTATATCAGCCGAAGGTAGCTGCAGCTGAAGTATCGTTACAGCTGCTTGTGCTGTAAACACTTATTCTGTGTGTGCATTCTGCACGATCACGATCAAATCCATCTTTTTTACACAGAGTACAATGTTTTTGGGTATGAACCTGATTTAGAGCCCACATTGTATTTATACACGCAAATAAATGAATAAATAAAATCTCTCTGTCAGGATCAGTTTTACAAACATTTTTGCAAATACTCAAAGAACTGATAATTACCAATAACACACCAATAACATAAAAATATATAGTGGTAATCAAATTTGGAATAAAATTGGGATATTTAGAAAATATGACAAAACTTTATTTAAAATTGTAGCTGATTTGAAATATTTGGCTTATTTTTCTTATATTTCAACTACAAATGTGTCTAAAACAAAAGAATTGTCTTTATTGATTAATCTACATCTGTTAAAAAATTTAGGTTTTAAATCAAAACTTTAGAAGAAATGCAAATAAGCCACACGCTCAAAAGTAACATCTGCTTCCTGAACCAGGTGTGGCAAGGGGGCGTGGCCTATTTGCACATTTTGTAAACATTGCGATGGAACATTTTAGGTCGTCTTAGATAAATTCACACCCTAAATGTGAGAAAAGCCAACTAAATACTTAAAATCTGTCGGCTGTAAAACTTTTCACAGATGATGCCTTTAATCTGACAAGATTTCGATTTAGCCATGAATAATTTCACATAAACGTAGAAATAAAGACTCTGTGTTTTATTCATAAGTGATGCACACACTTCAGGAATAAAATCGTTTAGATTAAAGTATAAACGGCGAGAGACAGACCCAGGCATCGGTCCGACCCACATTATGCTCTGCAGTCTTCACTTTCTCAGGACTTTTAACTTTTCATGCATATATTTTGAAAGAACACCGACCTCCACCAGAAATTACTTCTAGTCCTAATTTAAAAACATGTGACAAAAGAAATCAATCAATCAGCCTCTAACCAGCAATCATGCCAATCTAAAGTCTAGAAAAAACAGCTGCAGTGACTAATGCTATGAAAACATGCAGCACAGGAGGGTTAGCTTCAGGCTACAGAGGGGTTAGCTTCAGGCTAGAAAGTGGTTAGCAACAG